CTATAGTAAAATAAATAAGCAATAAGTTGACATGTTTTCTTCTTCTGCATTTATCTGACCATAACCAGCCAACAGAACAGTATTTTAAAAATCTCATAATTTTTGCTATTTAATGAAAAATAAATAACACAATGATATGACACACATTTTCTTCTGTAGCTTGTATCTTCTGTACAGCCAAAACAATCTGGGTATTTCCAGGGTGTTTCAAACCTTATGAATATTAATTAGCTCATGAATATTAATGAGCAACCAGCACTCCCAAAGAACTGGGCAGATCCCTGAAATTGTTAACCAATAGTTTCATTTTCATAAATTATTGACTTGCTTTAATACATATTCTTCTTGTACAAGTTGGTTCTAAAGTACAGTAACTAATTCATCACTGTTTTTATTTCAGGTTCTGAGCAGGTTTCAGCCTCTATAGCATTTACATTGGCATTATTTTCACATGTATTGAACCACTTAAATTCTCGTATTCAGTCATCATTGTATGACATGGAGCATCCGTTAGCTATCATAGACAGTAATGACAAAGATGATTCCGGTAAGTTGACAAGGCTGCATTTAAATACTGGATAACACCTGAACAACAATTATGTGACTTCATGTTTATAGTAGATCTGTAATTTTTAATTCTTTGCAAATGAGAGATTACTTCATAAATCCTCTCTAGCCTAATTTTGGTTTTATAGCAGACACCAAAATAAACTGAAAACTGCTTATCAATCTTCTTTGCAACATTGTAAAATTAGAGCACTCTCATCAAATATACAGTAGTGGGATTTTTGATATACAAATTAGTGTTGTTACTTTGATGGCACCGTCATAACAAACTCTTAGAAGTATTACAATGCTGCATATAAGATAATCAGTTTATTTCAAAGCCTGCTGTAAGAGAATTTACTGTCATAATATGGCTGCTGTAAATCATTTCACCATTGCAGTTTTTCCAATTCAAAGGCATTCTTGGGTTGAAATTTCTCAAAATTCAAAAAAAATTTCACAATATTTTGAAACATTTGTCTCTCATGAAATTAAAATGATTTACAGTATTTTGTGGTCAGAGTGTTATTTGTGATAATGACACATTTGTGAATAAGTAGAACTAAACTGAATTGAAACAGTCTTCTTTGTTTTTACACATAATAAAGCTGATTTGATTTGTTCCTCCATAGTGCTATTATGCAGTAGTGGGCATGAAAGTGAAGAGGATGACCAACTAACACCCCAGAGTACAGGTACCATTACACCAGGCAATAGTCAAGATGTTACTTATGGAAACAACTCACTAAAGAACAGAAAGAAACCACAAACCAAGAGAGTGCGAGCGATACATAAACTACGAAGACAGAGACGAGGACTGGAAGATGATTTAGATCTAAGTGAAGGAGAAGAAGACTTAGGAAGCAGCCAATCAGATTACAGTGATTCAGACAGTGAATTGTCAGCAGATGATGTGCTTGTCTCGGATTCTGACAGTGAGGATGAATCATTGATGGAGAGTCAGGAGTTGACGCCAGGTTTTGCCTCTCGTACTCACTTACTCAGTGATAACCATTATCAAGAACCATCTAAAGAAGATATCAGCAACAACGTTTCCCTTACTAATAATCTAAAAGACATGTCAAACCAATTGTTTTCACAGAATCCAAGTGCTAGTTTCTTGAGAAGGAACATTCGGTTGGCACCAACTTTTGATGCATATGTTCTGGATGCCAAGGCACAGGGAGAAAGCAAAACTAGTGAAGTGGCGATAGAGGACGGCGATAGAGGAGAACCGACAAAGGTGATAACTGAAGATCCTGAAGATGATGAAGGTATGACTTTCTTTGATGTACTTCTCTGATACCTCTTCAATTAACACATAACAGCATGATCTTGTTAGCCATTAACCATTAATGTAAAAAAAAAAACTTAGATTCTGTGTTAGATTTCCTCTGGTTTCAAATCACAAATTTAACAACTCCATTTTTAGCTCCACTGCCAACATAGATGACAGAGCGGAGCTGTTCGTATTGATGATTATCCGTCGTTGTCCATATTGATGATTATCCGTCGTTGTCCATCAACTATTATATTTCAATCTTCTTTTTGAAAACTACCAGCTCAATTTTGATACTTTAATAGTATTATGTAACTTGGGTTGACCTTTTTTCATGTCATGATGGTATTTCCAATTCTCTATTTTTAGTCCCCGTTCGGACGCAGTCCGAAAACGGGGACTTATGTTTTGCCCTGTGTGCGTTCGTGCGTCCGTGATCACCTGTATCTCGAACATGCATGGACCGATTAAGTTCAAACTTCACTCATACATCACACATTATATGGGACATATGCACATGCATTTTTTTCATGATCCGATTACTGATAGCCGAATAGCGGCCATTTTAAGGCCGAAAATGCATCAAAATCGCACATTTTCACCATTCCGGACCCGGATCTCAGTTATGCATGGATGGATTTTGTTCAAATTTGGTACATACATTAAACATAATAGGACCTTGATGCACGTCATTTTTTTTTTGGATCGGGTTCGAAATGGCCGACTGGCGGCCATTTTGTTTTAAAGAATTCAGTTCTGGATCCGTATCTGAGACATGCTTGGATTGATCGAGTTCAAACTTCACACACACAAGGTACATCATGTCACAAATATGTATGTGCATTTGTTTCATGATCTCATTAACGATAGCCAAATGGCGGCCGCTTTAAGGCCGAAAATGCATTGAAATCGCACATTTTCACCATT